CTGATGTTTTGGCGGTATTGTTGTTATTGTTGTATAGGTTGGATTGTTATAGTCGGCACCACAACACCTGACCCTGGAGGGCTTGTCAATTTTCCAGGACTCCCTCAAAAAATAAGGGAAAATGTGTGTGTGTGTGTGTGTGTGTGTGTGTGTGTGTGTGTGTGTGTGTGTGTGTGTGTGTGTGTGTGTGTGTGTGTGTGTGAAGCTCTCAACAATGGCCTGTTTCTAGCGATATATCTTTTTCCCTTCCTCCCCACCTCCCTCACTCTCCCCTGCCCTACTCTCCCCCTCCCTCACCTCCACCTCCCTCAGCCTCCATTCTCCCTCACCTTCCTCTCCCCTTACTCCCTCTCCTCATTACCTTCCTCCCTCCTCCCTCCTCAACCTCCCATCTCTGCCTTCCACCTCCCTCACCACCCCTTCCCTCACCACCTCTCCCTCACTCTCCTTACCACTCTCTCCCTTACCACCTCTCTTTCTCCTCACTCTCCTCTCCTCATTAATTCTCCCTTTACTTCACTTCTCCTCACCACCCCATCTCCCTCACTCTCCCTTACCACCCCTTCTCCCTCACTCTCCCTTCTTCAAAATCATCTGAAAAAATAACGGTACAGATACAATTGCAGGTACAGATACAAGCACAGGTACAGATACAAGCACAGGTACAGATATGCACAGGTACAGATACAAGCACAGGTACAATATAGCAACACAGGTACAAAGACTACAAAACACCTGAAACACAATAAGGTACAATAGTCACCTGGCAAGAATGACCAAAAGGTGTAAAGATAATATGGTAGTCTCCAGTATAGTCTCAGGTAGTGAGCTCTCTCTCCAGGATTGATTTTTACACGTTCAATTTAGGAGAAAAGAGAGAGAGAGAGAGAGAGAGAGAGAGAGAGAGAGAGAGAGAGAGAGAGAGATAACACAAAAAACAAGAATGAGAGAGAGTAGAATGACATAGACAGACACACAAACAGAGAAAGACAGAGGAGACAAAAAAATAGACAAAGAGAAAGAAGGTAGAGAAAGAGAGATAAATCCGTGGAGGGCGTAGGGGGAGATAAGACAAGAGGTATGGAGGGACTGAGGGAGAGAGAGAGAGGGGGAAGGAAGCCATTGTAAGGGCGGTGGTGCCAGCGTCTGCCACCGCCACAACTACTACTATCACCATCACTAGTATCATCACCACTACTACTACTCTTACCATCACTACTACTACTATCACCATCACTAGTATCATCACCACTACTTTTTTTTTTTTTAAATGTGGCCCAGCCTCCAATAGCCACACCTTCGCCACCATTTATTTACCTTAATATTAAATATCCTAATACATAATAAGCTATCCTATCTGTGTTAAATTAGTTGAGCTGCAGATCTATGCGGCATTCGGTGACTGTAGCCTCATAGTCAATATCTGCAGCAGTTGTCGGAGAGGGCAGGAGCCTGTTCCTGAGGCAGAGCAAAGCCGACCGAAGGAGAGAGAAGGACAGTCGACATCTCATCCAGGCTGTAACATAACTTCTGGCTGCTGCTTCTGTTCGGAGATCAACCTCCGCGAGTCTGGCGTAGAAACATCTTGCACTTGGGCCCATCCCACCAGAGGTTGTGAACACTAGAGGAGTGAAGCTGCCTTGATCAACGTTTTGAATTCTGTCCCCATATGCCCTTCTCTTGTCGTTCTCGTTCCTCCTATGTGCAGCATCGAGAGCTAGGTTACGGTGACAAGTGGCCAGTGGGATCAAAAAATCCTGATGTCGAAGAAAGCTCGCTGTCCCCGCGTCCAGAATCCTCGAGCACTGACGTCCACACGGGCTTCGTTGGATGTGTTTGAAGTCCTATGTTGGAAGATCTCACCATCCAATGGAAGGAGGGTCGGTTCACTTGATATCACAGCAGATTTCCTTCAACATATTTGCTGTGAGATCACTTATTTCGTCATGCCTCATGCATATGAAGCCCCCTTTCTTGCACACCATGGCATGATCGCCATCATAGGAAGAGCCACACACGCATTGGGAGGGCAAACCTTCTACTGGCCTACCCTACCTTAGAGCATTGGCATCTGTAAATTCTTGTTTTTTTGAGACTGAAACCATTTGCCCTCATCGGTAACGTAGTTAACCAGTTCGAGGCGCCCACCTCCTGTGCTATAGCTACTTTTTTTAATTTCTCTGGTACTTGCAACAACAGTTGCTGCAACTTATCACTTTGGCTGTGCTGTCGTTCTGTCGTAATGGACCATCGAACCACTACTACTACTACTATCACCATCGCTATTACTACGACTACTACTACTATCACCACCACTATTACTGCTATCACCATTGCTATTACTACGACTACTTATATCACCATCACTACCACAGATAATGATATCACTACTACTACTACTACAATCACCACCACTACTATTACTATCACCACCACTACTACTACTATCACCATCACTATTACTACTACTGCTCTGCCTCGGGAACGAAAGCTTCGGCCCCAAAGCCGACAACAGCTGCAGATATTGACTATGAGGCAACAGTCACTGAATGCCGCATAGATCTGCGGCTCAGCTAACTCAACTCAGCTAGGATAGCTACTTATGTATTATGATATTTAATATTAAGATAATAAAATGGTGGGGGAGGCTGGAGAACATATTTAAAAAAAAAAAACTACTATCACTACTACTACTACTATCACCACCACTACTACCAACCATGAGGGAGAGGAGGATGAGGAGGGGACAGGAGGAGGGGGAGAGAAGGGAGGGGAGGAGGAGAAGGGGGGGAGAGAAGGGAGGGAGAGAAGGGGAAGAGAAGGGAGGAGAGAAGGGTGGGGACAGGAGGAGGGACAGGAGAAGGGAAGAGAAGGGAGGGGAGAGAAGGAGGGAGAGAAGGGGGGAAGAAGGGGAGGGCGGGGGAAGAAGGGAAGGAGAAAGGAAGAAGAGGCCGTGAAGGCGAGGTTTTATATTCAATTTAAGCGAGAAAAATAGACATTTCTTCAGAATATTTAAGATTCTGGACCCAGTTGCTCTCCTCTACTTTTTCCTCCTCCCCATTCTCCCCTTCTTCTTTCTCCTCATTCTCCCCTTCTCCTCTTTTCCTCCTCCTCCTGATGAAGAATGTCCGACGTTCAATTCTCCCTCACAATCCCCACACCCTCCTGCAGGCGTCTCATGACTTGAATATTAAACAAATAATATAATATTTTACTCTTAACCTCTCATTCACCCCCCACCCCCACATAACAAGGATTCTCAGCACTCTCTGATCATTACCATAGCCTCATCTGTTAGTTAGGGACGAAGTTACTGCACCATCATCACCACCGTCACCTGCTACCACCTGAGATCCCTCGTCCACATATTACTGTTCAACATTACAGCCGCCTCCAGCCCATACGACCACGTACTGATCGCTGCACAATCCCAACCATTGTAACAATCATCAACAACTGGTATAGTCTACTAGCCGGTCCTATATGTTCTTCAGTGAACCTAGAAACGTAGAGTACTATAAGGTTTTATGCTGGAAATGCAATGTACTGGTCATGAGGACTTAGAAACTGCCAGATGCTAATTTGCATATATTGAGCATTTTGCATAATTTGACCTAAGCCAAATCACTAAATCAGAATATCTTTCTTAGTAAACCACCTAAGGAATTCATTTTGGTGTCTAGACCCATGTTTTCGACCCCAAGGAATCTATTTAACATAGTTCCATGATCATACCATGCTTCCAACTGCCTGAAATTCAATACTGCCGACGTGCATATTGAGGTATATCGAAAAATCGCCATAACTCAATAACCGTTGAGGATAGAGACTTCGTTTCGATGTATAGACCTATGTTTTCGATGCCAAAGAGTCCATCTGTCATATTTTGAAACCACCATCACTCTTCTGAACACGTTAAAATCAAATATGACCACTGCACATAAAGAACCAAGTCGTAAATCGTCATATCTCAGCAACCGCAATGTGTCGGGAGGAGGAGGATTCTTTATGACAACGCCGAGACGATTGACCAGCACAGACTTGCTACCCTTTCGGAGGCAGCCATACTTATCGATGATTGACGGAGGCACGGGGCACAACTCATGCTGGAAGTGAGCTGACAATTTTAAGTTTCGTTTCCGTCCAACGACCAGGAGACGGGCGAATATGGCTTCCAGATCATACACTGTTTTGTCTTTCACTTTCACACTTCGCTTCAGTACCTGCATGGTCTTCACCTTCTTTTTGGTCGGACTGTGTGAGCCATCAGGGGCAGCGAAAGCGTTCTGCATTTTCTGACCGATCTAAACCGCAGCCTGTACGTTGAATTCTTTTGCAGATGCCACATGTCCATTGACGATGTTATACAGGGATGTGGAATGGTCAGCGAGTGGATGAGAATGCCTCCTGAGTTCATCCAGGACCTTCAGGCGGTCCTCTCTGTCCAACTCCCGTCTCTTTTCACCTTCTTTGTGTTTTGGAGGTGCAGAAGCAGGTTTTCCGCCAGGGCTGTACATTTCATCATGGCCATGGAAAGGTGTGAACAGACACTGAGCGACTCAATCCAGACAGCGACTTGTTCAGGGTTGGTAGAGATACCCTTTATGCCCCCCAGCTTGCTTGCCTTGCTTGATATACGTCTGCTCCCTGAACTGGTCGCCGGACACAGCGGTAGCTCCTTCAGAGTGACGACAAACATGTCCTCCATCGAGAAGATCTTTCTTGGCATCCTCCGCTAGGTGCTGCATTACCCGCAGGTGCCAGCTGATTACCGTGTATAATGATGATGCCCAGCCACAAAGAAATACGGCAACGTCTGCTCCAGGCAGTGCTGCTGTAGTAACCAGTCACCCTCTCGCTCGGCCCTCAGGAAATGGTGTGCAAGAATGGTTGGTGTGATAAAGCAGTCGACCCAAAGCTTGCCTGTGTGATGTTCCCTTGCCTTCTCGAGGTGTGCAACGATATCAACCATGACTTTTCTCTCCCTCCCGCAAGAAATCATGAAGAAGTGCAGCGACAACCATACGAAAGGCTCGCATTGCCTTTGGCCACGCCTTCCAATTGAAGATGTTGGCGATACCACCGTGCGCAGAACCGACGAGCTCCTCAACACCAGCACCTTTCATGTTGTATCCGATGGTGCCAATGAAAGACATCAAGGTGTGCATTATTCCTGGTCTCAGAACCACACATTTCCATCTTACAGGATCGCTCCACTTGACAAGACAGGCAATGATGTAGAGCTGCAGCGTTCTTCCCGGTTTGCAGTCGGGCTAATTCAAAAGTATTGACACCTTCTCGTGTGGTGCTCCTCCAAGCGTTACGGTGCGTAATCGTCTCCCAGGTGAGGGAGTCGATTTGGCACTTTTTCAGGTTTGTCTTAAGACTATCCTTATACCTTTTCAGTTTCCTGCCAGCGTTACGTTTACTATTCGTTAGGTGACTGTAAAGTAGCTGCTTTGGTAGTCTACTGTCGTCCATGTGGGTAACATGACCAGCCCAACGTAGTTGTTAGTGCTACATGCTCACTACAACACAAGTACTACATGTTCACTACAACACTAGTACTACATGTTCACTACAACACTAGTTCTACAAGATCACTACAACACTAGTACTACATGTTCACTACAAGACAAGTACTACATGTTCACTACAACACTAGTACTACATGTTCACTACAAGACAAGTAATTACATGTTCACTACAACACTAGTACAACATGTTCACTACAACACGAGTAATTACATGTTCACTACCACACTAGTATTACATGTTCACTATAACACTAGTATTACATGTTCACTATAACACTAGAACTACATGTTCACTATAACACGAGTACTACATGATCACTATAACACTAGTAGTACATGTTCACTACAACACTAGTACTACATGTTCACTACACACTAGTACTACATGTTCACTACCACACTAGTACTACATGTTCACTAAAACACCAGTACTACATGTTCACTACCACACTAGTACTACATGTTCACTATAACAGTAGTACTACACTATAACACTAGTACTACATGTTCACTATAACACTAGTACTACAAGTTCACTATAAATAGTACTACATGTTCACTATAACACTAGTACTACAAGTTCACTATAACAGTAGTACTACATGTTTACTATAACACTAGTACTACATGTTCACTATAACAGTAGTACTACATGTTCATTATAACATAGTACTACATAAACACTAGTACTGCATGTTCACTATAACAGTAGTACTACATGTTCACTATAACACTAGTACTACATGTTCACTATAACACCAGTACTACATGTTCACTATAACACTAGTACTACATGTTCACTATAACACCAGTACTACATGTTCACTATAACACTAGTACTACATGTTCACTACCACACTAGTACATGTTCATTATAACAGTAGTACTACACTATAACACCAGTACTACATGTTCACTATAACACTAGTACTACACTATAACAGTACTATATTTATGATCATTACAACCAGAGTAATACGTGCAGTACCTCTTACTACATTAACTGCACTGAGGTGGACTCCCCCCTCCTTGCCAGAGTGATCACTTAATTAACCCAATAGCAACGATGGCTTACGGTAATTTTCATCATTATGATGTATTCGGTTTGTACGTTCAAAACATCTCGTATAACTGTTCATATGAGGATATTAAATACATCTTTAATGAACATGGTGGCATGGTGGACTGTTACATGCCTTATAATAAAAACAAAACCTGGCACCGCGGTGTTGCCAAAATCCGGTACTGTGATGAGCAGCGCCAGAGGTTGGCCTTCACCAATAATGGACGAGTGGTCTACAACCAGCCCCTGAAAGTTTCTGTTCTGCATATCGACCGTAGAACACTCCATAATAAGTATAACGATCGACATTATTATTATAATCATCATTATTATGATGAAAGGGAATGTGGATCTCATCATCATCCCCAGGTGCCGCACCATCCTCAAAAACAACTTTATGATGAAATTGAGTATGACCGCCGTGAGAGCGGTCAACCACAACCCCTTCCCCAAAGGTCTCATGTGAGACCTTGCATAGGGAGGATATCGGAAGCAGTCATCTACACCCTCAGAAACGACCTAATCCAGAGGAATCTGACGACAAGTCGTGCAGTGAGGTGAAGAAGGCTCGCCTTCCCCCTCAGGAACGACCTATTCCACACGAAACTGACGAAGAGTCGTCCAGTGAGGTGAAGAAGGCTCGCCTTCCCCCTCAGGAACGACCTATTCCACAGGAAACTGACGAAGAGTCGTCCAGTGAGGTGAAGAAGGCCTGCCTTCCCCCTCAGGAACGACCTATTCCACACGAAACTGACGAAGAGTCGTCCAGTGAGGAAGACGACGACGACAAGTCGTCCAGTGAAGAGGAAGACGACGAATCGTCCAGTGAGGAGGAAGACGACGAATCGTCCAGTGAGGAGAAGGACAAGTCGTCCAGTGAGGAGGACGATGAGTCGTCCAGTGAGGAGGCTCAGTGACGTGTTTGTATGTTATTTTTTATTATGAATTAATAAATAATATAAAATTAATAGAGTTTCTCTTGTCCTGTGTCCCACACACTAACCCCCAAACAACTTGCCCCCACCTATCCCAGCAAAGACTACGCTCCCTTCCTTTAAATCATCTCTTAAAAAATATCTATTGTCTAAGTATTAATATTTCTTGTAACACCTCCTATATTTACAGTACCTGCTTTTATTGTACCATATTTGCCAACTAGACATAATCCTGACAGCTCTGTCCTCTTGTTCAACCTTATTACTGTACAACCCAGGTTGTACTGCTCCCCCATTATACTTATGTTTTTCAATTCCACTGTAATTTATGTATATACTTATAATAATAAAAGTAATAATAATAATAATAAATAAATAAAATTAATAAATATTCAAGTGATAACCGAGGTAACATTATGAGATGTTCTTATTACCACCATGCTATTGGACTATTCCAGATGATACTAAATGTTACATAATACTTCCTTGAGATAAATGTGTAGTATACAGTATATCAGGTGCCTCAAAGAGAGCTCAGGTACACCCCCCACACACAATACACCCCCCAACACACTACACCCCCCCAACACACTACACCCCCGCACACACACTACACCCCAACACACACTACACCCCCACACACACTACACCCCAACACACTACACCCCCAACACACTACACCCCTGCACACACACCACACCCCAACACACTACACCCCCAACAAACACCCCACACAAACCCAACACACCACCCCAACACACCACACCCCTGCACACACACACCACACCCCCAACACACCACACCCCCACACACCACACCCCACACACACCACACCCCCCCACACACACCACACCCCACACACACACCACACCCCACACACACACCACACCCCACACACACACCACACCCCTGCACACACTACACCCCCAACACACCACACCCCCAACACACCACACCCCCAACACACCACCCCCACACACCACACCCCACACACACCACACCCCACACACACCACACCCCACACACACCACACCCACCACACCCCGACACACTACACCCCAACACACTACACCCCTGCACACACACTACACCCCCCAACACACTACACCCCCAACACACTACACCCCACACACACAACCTCAACACACACACCCCCTGCACACACACTACACCCCAACACACCACACCCCCTGCACACACACCACACCCCCAACACACCACACCCCCACACACACCACACCCCACACACACACACCACACCCCCACACACACACACACCCCACACACACACACCACCCCACACACACACACCACACCCCACACACACCACCCCCACACACACCACACCCCGCACACACCACACCCCAACACACCACACCCCAACACACCACACCTGCACACACACCACACCCCACACACACCACCCCACACACACCACACCCCACACACACCACACCCCCACACACACACTACACCCCCACACACACACACACACCCCACACACTACACCCCCACACACACTACACCTCCCACACACACTACACCCCCACACACACCACACCCCACACACACACACCACACCTCCCCACACACACCACACCCCCAACACACCACACCCCCAACACACACACCCCCACACACACCACACCCCCAACACACCACACCCCACACACACCACACCCCCGCCACACACCACACCCCCACACACACCAACACCCCACACACCACACCCCAACACACCACACCCCACACACACACCACACCCCCACACACACCACACCCCACACACACCACACCCCGCACACACCCCACACCCCTGCACACACACCTACACCCCTGCACACACACACTACACCCCCAACACACTACACCCCCAACACACCACACCCCACACACCACACCCCACACACACCACACACCCCCACACACACCACACCCCACACACACCACACCCCACACACACCACACCCCGACACACCACACACCCCAACACCACACCCCCACACACCACACCCCCACACACCACACCCCCAACACACTACCCCACACACCCCAACACACCACACCCCGCACACACACCACACCCCCAACACACCACACCCCACACACACCACACCCCACACACACACTACACCCCACACACACACCAACCCCCACACACACTACACCCCACACACACCACACCCCACACACACACCACACCCCACACACACACCACACCCCCCACACACACCACACCCCCACACACCACACCACCCACACACCCCACACCCCCGCACACACCACACACCACACCCCAACACACCACCCCCAACACACCACACCCCAACACACCACACCCCCACACACCACACCACCACACCCCACACACCACACCCCACACACACCACACCCCTCACACACACCACACCTCCCACACACACCACACCCCACACACACACACACACCCCCCACACACACTACACCCCACACACACTACACCCCCCAACACACTACACCCCACACAACCACACACACTACACCCCCCACACACACACACCACACCCCACCCACACCCCACACCACACCACACCCCAACACACTACACCCCACACACACTACACCCCCAACACACTACACCCCACACACACACCACACCTCCCCACACACACTACCCCTGCACACACCACACCTCCCACACACACTACACCCCCAACACACTACACCCCAACACACTACACCCCCACACACACACCACACCCCCCCACACACACCACACCCCCACACACACACTACACCCCCCACACCCCACACCCCTGCACACACACTACACCCCTCACACACACTACACCCCCAACACACCACACCCCCAACACACCACACCCCAACACACCACACCCCACACACTACCCCCCACACACACTACACCCCACACACACACTACACCCCACACACACACTACACCTCCCACACACACCACACCCCGACACACTACACCCCCAACACACTACACCCCCCGCACACACACACACTACACCCCCCAACACACTACACCCCCAACACACTACACCCCACACACACCTACACCCCAACATACACCCCTGCACACACACTACACCCCAACACACTACACCCCTGCACACACACCCACACCCCCAACACACTACACCCCCACACACACTACACCCCCACACTACACCCCCACACACACACCACCCCCACACACACTACACCCCACACACACACCACACCCCACACACACACCACACCCCCACACACACACCACACCTCTCACACACACCCGCGCACACTACACCATCCCACACACACACACCCCACACACACCACCCCCCACACACACCACACCCCCCCACACACACACACCTCCCACACACTACACCCCAACACACCACACCCCAACACACTACACCCCCACACACCACACCCCCCAACACACACACCCCCACACACACACCACACCTCCCACACACACCACACCCCTGCGCACACACCACACCTCCCACACACACACACCCCCACACACACTACACCCCCAACACACCACACCTCCCACACACACTACACCCCAACACACTACACCCCACACACAAACTACACCCCACACACAACTACACCCCACACACACTACACCCCACACACACACCACACCCCCACACTCACACTACACCCCACACTCACACTACACCCCCAACACACTACACCTCTACACACACTACACCCCAACACACCACCCCCAACACACTACACCCCCACACACACACCACACCCCACATCAACCTGGCACCACCCTACAGAATAGCCATTTGTCGACCGCACCAACCCTCTTCCGCCACACAACGACCTATTGTCCTTACCAATAAAGCCTACAATGGACACGGAGAATAATAGCACTTCTAACCTTACCCACACGACCCTGACACCACCGTTTTCCTGGTCTGGCGGCACAATGAACCGTATATAATGTTATGGTAGTGGACCGCTGTATATAATGTGGTAGTGGACCGCTGTATATAATGTTATGGTAGTGGACCGCTGGGTATATAATGTGGTAGTGGACCGCTGGGTATATAATGTTATGGTAGTGGACCGCTGGGTATATTGTTATGGTAGTGACCGCTGGGTATATAATGTTATGGTAGGACCGCTGGTATAATTGTTATGGTAGTGGACCGCTGGGTATATAATGTTATAGTGACCGCTGTATATAATGTTATGGTAGTGGACCGCTGGGTATATAATGTTATGGTAGTGGACCGCTGGGATATAATGTTATGGTAGTGGACCGCTGGGTATATAATGTTATGGTAGTGGACCGCTGGGTATATAATGTTATGGTAGTGGACCGCTATATAATGTTATGGTACTGGACCGCGGTATATAATGTTATGGTAGGGACCGCTGTATATAATGTTATGTACTGGACCGCTGGGTATATAATGTTATGGTAGTGGACCGCTGGGTATATAATGTTATGGTACTGGACCGGTATATAATGTTATGGTAGTGGACCGCTGGGTATATAATGTTATGGTAGTGACCGCTGGGTATATAATGTAGTAGTGGACCGCTATATAATGTTATGGTAGTGGACCGCTGGGTATATAATGTTATGGTAGTGGACCGCTGGGTATATAATGTTATGGTACTGGACCGCTGGGTATATAATGTTATGGTAGTGACCGCTGGGTATATAATGTTATGGTACTGGACCGCTGGGTATATAATGTTATGGTAGTGGACCGCTGGGTATATAATGTTATGGTAGTGGACCGCTGGGTATATAATGTTATGGTAGTGGACCGCTGGGTATATAATGTTATGGTAGTGGACCGCTGGGTATATAATGTTATGGTAGTGACCGCTGGGTATATAATGTTATGGTAGGACCGCTGGGTATATAATGTTATGGTAGTGGACCGCTGGGTATATAATGTTATGGTAGTGGACCGCTGGGTATATAATGTTATGGTAGTGGACCGCTG